CAACACTTGAATTCTCTGAGCTCCTGAGAGCGACCCATTCTTTCACAAATGTTTCTAGAAGCAGTCTGCATGCCTAGGTGCTTGATTATACACCTGTGGCCATGGAGGTGATTGGAACACCTGAAACCAATGATTTGGAGAGGTATCCCAATACTTTTGCCAATATAGTTTATATAATACTTCTAAATATGCAATATACTTATAGGTTTAAATGAATATGGCTTTGCATAATGCTTTTGTTGATTTCAGAAGCAATAGGGATTTTATTTAAGTAGCAGGTCTGGACAACATTTGTAAGACCTTTCAAACCAAATTATTTGACTTCAGTGGACCTTTAACCCCTTCCACTATAAATCACATCAGAATGCAGCTCTGCATGCTGATATAAAATCATCTTACATTTATTTAACCAACATTTTATGCGTTTACATCCAATGACTGTTTTCTACTTCCTGGTTGAGTGAGGCACTGTTAATGCAGCCTGGCCTCACATATGCATTCTGGGAAGGCTATATCACCAGTGCTTTCCTTGGAAATCTCATCTGCAGACTGTAAAATCCTGTGAGATCTCAGAGGAAAGACAGTTTCTTCCCCCTGGCAGAGCCAGAGTTCCAGGAAGTAAAGGGAGATATATTAATCTGCTGTTAGTGAAAATAACTGACGTAAGAACGGGGATGTACCCATGTCAATAAAGATCAGTATGACCTGTGCCTGATGAAGGGACCCTATGTGGCCCCGAAATGTTGCCTGTTTTTTACAAGATGTACCCGTGTCAATAAAGATCAGTATGACCGGTGCCTGATGAAGGGGCACTATGTGGCGCCAAAATGTTGTCTGTTTTTAACTAGATGTACACATCAATATAGATGCACTTTGACCTTGGTGTGCTGGTGACATACTACTTCATAATTGGCTATAGCACTCATGCCCAAGGGGTATACCCATAGGGAGTGCAGTGGGATTTCCACAGAATTTGGGACACCTGATACATCTTTGCACGCAGGGTTCCGGCTTGTGCACGCACATGCAGCTGATTTCTGCCATCTGGTACCTTAACCATGTGTGCGCTTACATGGGAATACCCTTTGTGCGCATACATGCCTGGTGGGGAGCAGGGGCATGTTTGCGCATGTGCCCTTTGGTAATGTGTGAGATCCCAGAAGCCAATGGGGAAGCCAGTCCCACCCAGGTGAGTTAGGAGGAAATGCTGGGATGCTGCACAACAAAACGAATATTCTCAAAAAATAAGCAACTGTTTCCCAATGTTGGGACCAGGAGCAACAAAAAGAACAGATGAAGGTTCGCCCTTTGACTAGACCCAGATGTGCATTGAAAAGGCAGCCAATCAGAACAAGTGATGAAGATGTGCGAGCTTCTCATCACAGAGACAACGCTGCTACATAGACACATGTGCTGGGCGAAGTGCTATGGTCTCTGTGTATGTACATCAGCCACAACCTAGCACAGGGCTAACCTTCCCCGATCACCGCACACACAGCATTAATAACACGGTGCAGGCTATGGATGTCTGCTCTGCACCCGGGCACCGCTCAGCGATGAAGCCGCCGCTCAGCTATTTCCCTGCACTCAGCAAACTCCAGACTAGAGCACTCGGCACAATCCTCGCAGTCTCCCGCACGCCACCGCTTATATAGCTCTCTAAAAATAGCTCTTCTCGCAATACCTTGTAAGGCAGCAAAGAAGATATGTGTCAGCCAATCAAAGCTAGCCTTTGCCCCCTAAGCCCCGCCCGCAGTCCTAACCCGACGTGCTGATTGGCGGTTCGATATGCCACATCCTCCAGCTACCTCCCCGTTCTCCTTCTATGGTCACAGGCTCTCCAGAGTGACAGCTTTTTCCAAGAATTTCTCGTGCCCGTGCAATGGTGTCTGCCTGGAGGCGGGGTCAGGAGGCGGGGCCTGCTCATCGGACAGAGCTGGAGGAGGAGGAGAGACGAGACTCTCAAGAAGCAAAAGGGGAGAGAAAGAGAGAGAGAGAGAGGGGGGAGAGAGAGGAAAAAAAAAGCTGGAGCCAGAGAAAGAGAAAATGCAAGCACTTCTCTCCCCCCTTCCTCCTAATACAGAGAGCAAAGATTGCACCCATGAGCAGGCAGCTCTGGTGTACCAATAGGTGACAGTCTCATGTCACTGAGTTTGCATCTTCCTTCCTGGCACAAGCTTTGGGGACACTCCAGCCTTGTAAACGATTCCTTGTGTCTGATTAGTAACATTGGATGTTGACTTTAATACACAATATACGATCTCTCTGTGTCTCTGTATGATCCATCCTTGTGTTTGATTTTACATGCTTGGGTTTGATTGATCAGCACTTGTTTTGCTTCTACTGACTGTCTAGATACTCACACACAAAAACGGGACTCCGGATCTATCCTTGTTCTAAAAGGACAGCAGTTAAGGATTATTCCAACATTCCTCTTCCCATCTTGCAAACATGGATGTTTTGGCTAGTTATAGCATATTCCAGGAGCTGCAGATTGTGCACGACACGGGCTACTTCTCAGCAATGCCATCTTTGGAGGAGAATTGGCAGCAGGTGAATGATTTAAATTAATCCTGTAAATCTTTAACTGCACACACATACACACCATTCACTTTGCCATTCATGTTTTCATTTCTTTCTGGGGACATTGGCTGGCATGGTGCACATTCTTGGTCACCAGATCTTTACAGATGTCACTAATCACAGGCAATTTCTGTTTTTTTTTTATTTGGAAAATAAACATCTGTTTCTTTTTAGGTTTTTATTTCTCTGTTTGAAATTGATCACAAGTCTCTGATCTCTGATTCAGTCCCTTTAACAACTATCTAGCTGTATAATATGACCATTATGTATTATGAACTTGTATGCTGGTGTGTCTCAGTGAAATACTGATTATGGTTTTAGATTGACATGCTTAATCAGCAAAACCTAGTGACTTCTAACATGCTGCTTTCTTCAATCAGCAGGAATCCCATGACATTTAATCACATTAGGATGACAGCTATAATGCAAAGTTTACTTTTATATAAAACAAC